GTATTTAAATTGTTGATTTAATAGTGTAATAATTGATTTAAAAATACTTTTATGTTACTCATTTAATTATTTTTTCTACTTTTAATGATTCTATTTTACTTTTCTATCTTATTTATTCTATTTCATTTCTTCTTTTAATTATTTCTATTATTATTATTATTTATTTTATTATTTTTCTATTTTACTTTTACTATTTTATTTATTTTCTTTTACTTTTTCTACTTTTTTATTCTCTACTTTTTTATTTTATTTTTTCTACTTCATTTATTTATTATTTTCCATTATATTTTTTCTACTTTAATTTCTCTGCTTTATTTATTCTTTTTTATTTTTTCTACTTTATTTATTCTCTTTTTATTTATTCTACTTCATTTATTTATTACTTTCCATTATACTTTTTCTACTTTAATTTCTCTGCTTTATTTATTCTCTTTTATTTTTTCTACTTTATTTATTCTCTTTTTATTTTTTCTACTTTATTTATTCTCCTTTTTTCTACTTCTTTATTTAATTTTTTTATTTTACTTTACAAAAATTATTCACTTTATTAAAATTCTTTATTCTATTCTATTCATTTTACTTTTATTAATTACATTATTTTAATTATTCAGAAAAATAAATTTGTTTTTTAGGAAACTGTCAGGTCTACGATCAACGTAAGTTCGATGATAGAGTGAAAATATTTTTCTAAAAAATTATCTATGCGGTTTAAAATTTTCCTTTTTATTAAATGATTTCATATTTTCAATACTAAATAATTTTCAAAATCAACTTGCTTATAATTTCATTATTTTGCAGAATATTATTATATTATTAATTTGTTAATTAATAATTAATTAAATAGTACTAAATAATGTTAATTACTTAAATATTACTAAATAATATTAATTCATTAAATATTACTAAATAATATTAATTCATTAAATATTACTAAATAATGTTAATTACTTAAATATTACCAAATAATATTTATTCATCAAATATTACTAAATAATTTCAATTACTGAAATGTTACAAAATATTAATTAATTAAATATTACAGAGGGACTAATTTATGGTTCAAGTCTTCCTAATTTATCAGGACAATCAAATGGTTATTATAATAATAATAATAATGTTTATTATCAACAACTTCAACAAGCTTTACGAAATATTCGTAAGTAGACAAATTTAAAAAAAAAATTTTAAACTAGAAAAGAATTTATTATTTGGAGTCTTTACTATTTTTTTACAGAAGCAGCCATGGCCTATATACAATCATTCGTACCGTACGGTACATACTGATGACTTTAAAAAAATCCACCAATTCTGAAATAATCCACAAGAGAAAAAATAAAAAAAAATATTACTTAAGCAATTAATTGATAAAATTAATCAAGAAATTATTATTTATTAAGAATTATTAGAAATATGTATAAAACATTTACGAAACGAATAAAAATATTTTATAAGTGAAACAACATTGAAAATTTCTTCTAACCTCTTATTTTCAACTTTTTACAAAAAACTGTTATTAAATTCTGTTTAAATTTTTTTGAATTTAATTAATTTACGTTTTCCTAATTTTTTTTATTGTACGAACGAAGGTTTTCTTTGTCTACTGAATATATTTACTAATTAATTAATAATTAATGAATAATGATAAAAAAGAAAAAAAAAAAATTTTTTTCTAGAAAATTTACAAATGAAAGAAAACTAGATTATTTATTTGCAAAATTAAACTTGGACCTTCGATATGTAAAAACGAGGCAGGCTTCTGAATGAAAAATACAACGAAAAAAAAAATGAGGGAAAAAAATGTTAAATTTATGTATAAGATTACAGACAAGATAACTCAGCGATAAACTATATTGTTTATTAATATCATCCAGCTTCATTTAATCTAACTACTACAAGTTTGTTATAAAATCGTCCGATATTTCTCGCAGAAATATTATATACCTTGAATGTACGCAATTTTTTTTTCCGCATCTGATGGTACATACCAAATTACAACACACGCGGAACGAAGGGAACTAAACTTGTTTTTAAGGTAAAATTATATTCTTCTTTTTTTTTTTTTTGTCTAAAAATAAAGTACCGCGCCGGTGAAAAGTAAAAACCGAGAGGTTTCATTTTGCAAATTAAAACCGTTGGTGTGTAAAAACGTTTGTCCCCCGTTAAAAACAGTGGGAGAAATTTTAATGAGAACGTACATTTCACATACACATACAATACAAAGATATTGTAAAATTAATTTAAATAAATTAAAAAATTTTAAACAATTTGAATTATAATTTAATTCGTTGTTTCATTTTATTTCGTTCTTAACGTGTTTTTTTGTGTATAAAAGAAATGGAAAAAAAATGAATATAAAAAATTTACATTTTCTAATAGTATGTAGAAATTCTTTGCTGTTTGCAAATATCAATTTAATTGGCTCGGAGATTTTACATTCGTTGTCTTCGTCAATTTTAAGCGGCATCAAAATCAAAGAAACATGAATGCGACATAATTAGGATAATTATTATATAAATCGCTTCGTTTGCATAAACAAGTTTAAATTGAGTTTTAAAGAAAAAAAAAAAAGAAACCAGGCAGGCTTTGAAAAAAAATTTCTTGAAACATTCTAATTTTTTGTCTATCTTATTTTTGAGTTTGTATTTGTCATTGATTATTCTCGAATAAATTATTAAATCGACGCGTCTGCTCTTGCATGTCCGAAAAAAATTATAATCAAAATATAAATTCCGTCCGGAATAAAAATTAATAAAAAAAAAGTTCTAACTGGAAATTTTAAAAGAGTTGCGTTTACAATTTTCATAATTAGATGAACTTCAAAAGATTTTAATTTAAAATTGTTTAAAATTTCAATTTTTTAATATACATATTTAATTAATTATTAAAAATAATGAATATATAGAAGAATTTTAGTCAAAAACACTTTAAAAAATGTAATTTTGGAGAAGTTACAAATGATTGCAGAAATTCAATTATTTTTAAAAGTAATTAATTAATAACTTAATTCCTGAAGAATACTTAGAAATTATTTAGTGAATAATTTTACTTCAATATTTCAAAATTAATTGCATTTCAAAAGAGTTGCGTTTACAATTTTTAAAAAAGGTTTCAATTTGAAATTTTAGGAAATTTCAATTTTTAATTAATTTAATTAGAAATTGTAAGAACTGATTACAGAAATTTAATTATTTTCAAAAGTGATAAACTTCTTCACAAAAATTCAATTATGTTCAAAAATTTTTTAAAAATTTTCATCAAAATTTAAATTATCGTCATACATAATAAAATTATTCTCTAAAATTCAATTATTTTTAAAAAATTGAATGAAATTCTTGGCAAAATTTCAATTCTTTTCTAAAAATTTTCCTCATTTTAATTATTTTTTATATCTACTATTTTGAAAAAAATTCCCGATATAATTCAATTATTTTTAAAAAAATTCTTCTTAAGAATTCAATTATTTTCACAAATAATAAATTTTTTATGGGAATTCAATTATTAAAAAATTTTAGAATAAAATTCTTCGCAAAAAATCAATTACTTTCATAAATAATACAATTTTTCTCGGAAATTCAATTATTTTAAAACATTTTGAAAAAATTAAAAAAAAAAATTTGGTCACATTTCAATTATTTTCAATTTTTTAATGAAATTTCTCGATAAAATTTAATTATTTTAAAAAAGTTTTAAAAAATTCTGAGAAAATCAATTATTTAAAAAAATTGTAATAAAATTCTACTCAAATATTTAATTATTTTCATAAATAATAAAAATTTCATAAGAATTCAATTATTTACAAATTTGTTTATAAATTTCTTCGTAATAATTCAATTATTTTCATTAATAATAGCATTTTTTACAGGAATTCAATTATTTTTATAAATAATAGTATTCAACGCAGAATTTCAATTATTTTTTATACAATTGTAATTGAATTGCTCGAAAAATGTAATTATTTAAAAATTTTTTTTTAAATTCGTCGAAAGAATTTAATTTTTTAAAATTTTGTTGTAAAAATTCTTTATGAAAATTTAATTTTAAGAAACATTCAATTATTCAATAAATTATTTATTTTCGTATTTAAATGATTGAATTCTCATAGAATTTTCTAATAAAAAATAATTTAAAAATGAATTTCAGTTAAAATTTTAGATATAATAATTGAATACTAAAAGTATTGTAGCATGAATTTTTAGAAATAATTGAATTTTGAAAAGGTTTCTAATTAAAATCTTTGAAAATCTTAATTTTTCATACTTTTAACTAAAAATTCTGTAGATTTAATTTTTCTTGAAATAGTTTATTTGAATTTTTTTCTCAAAGAACTTTGTCAGAAATTATTAAAAATAATTGATTGAAAGAAGAATTTTAAATCAAGTTATTGATGTTTTCGAATAATTTTACAATTTAAGAAATTCGTAAATAAATGTTATAAATTTTTTTTTTTAGAGTATAAAATCATTTTCAAAGTGAATCAGAATATTCTTTAGGGCCAGGGAAAAATTAAAATTTTGTCTGGAAATCAGGGGAAAGTCAGGAAAAAACAAAATTAAACTTTTGTGTCAAATCTGTTCAAAAATATTTTCCATTATGATTAGTGTTTAAATTTTTATAGAAACGCGTATGTAAATTTGAGAAAAATATATGAAATAAAAGAATAAATAAAAACAAAAATGAAAAATAGAAAAATAAAAAATGAAAAACAAAAAGAAAAAAAAGAAAAATAAAAAAATGAAAAGATAATGCAATGAGGAAGTATAGAAACGTAATATTGATAAAAAATAATTATACGCTTGAATTATGGATTTTTTGAAAAATAAACTTTATACTATTTTGTATAATTATCATTGTTTGAAGTAACACAAAAGACAAAAAAAAAAAAAAACTGAACTAAGGGAGAGGAGGAAAAAGTTGATTACGTGCGCACATGTTACGTGCACTAGAATTAATGATTTTGTTTCCTCTTTTATAATCAGCTTCCTTTTATAATAAGATTCAAACGTCTGCATCAGTTCAGTTTTTTTATTCGACTGTTGGAATTGTTTAAAAATTTGAAGAAAAAAAAGGAACGATAGAAAACCATTGTTATAATGAAATTAATATTTATTAGTGTAATTACACTTGTTACGTTTGGTAAGAGACTTTCAAGATTAGATTAGATATATTAGAAATTATTCGCCATTGTTTGTTAAATTCGTTAAAATAATATTGATGTCAGTAGAAATTACTAAAAAAAAATTAACAAAATAATAGAGAAAAATAACAGAATTTATAAAATGCTAATAAAAACAACAACAATAGTAATAAAAAAACTATACTTTTCGTTTTTGAACCTCAACAAATATAAACTAACAGTAAACGCAAATAAATTTTTGTAATTTGTTTTATTTCTAAATATTGTAAAAAATTTTTTTTTATCTTTTTTATAAATATTGTAAGTACCGTTAAACGGGGAAATTATGGAACAAAAAAAGCTATTTTTTCAGTCTTTTCTTCACAAAAAATCTAAATTGTATAAAAAATATTTCTTAACTATTCAAATGTATTGTGGAAATTTTTCTGAAGATTTAATCTAGGTTTCATTAACAAAATCATCAATAATAAAAAAAAACATTTGAAAAAATATTTTCAATAACAATGGAATGTAACAAAAATAAATATTTTAAACTATTTTCGTATAAAATACTTAACCCCATCACAGCCCAGTGAAAATAAAGTTTTTGTGCCACAAATGTTCTAAAAAATTTTTTTTTTAAAAAACAACATTGTCAAATTCAAAATTCGAAATGGCAGCTTCAAAATGGTTACCAAAAAAAAATTTCATTCGTTAACTTTAAAATTTTTTTTGTCGCAATTTTGAAGCCGCCATTTTGAATTTTGAATTTTCAACCACGGATTTGGATTCAGTGACCCAAAAAACATGTTTTTTGTATAATATGTTTTTTGGGTCACTGAATCCAAATCCGTGGTTGAAAATTTAAAATTCAAAATGACGGCTTCAAAATTGCGACCAAAAAAATTTTAAAGTTAACGAATTAAATTTTTTTTGGTAACCATTTTGAAGCCGCCATTTTGAATTTTGAATTTTCGACCACGGATTTGGATTCAGCGACCCCGAAAACCCCCGAGTAGGCATTTTCAGGCAGATTCGTTAACTTTAATATTTTTTTGGCCGTCATTTTGAATCTTCGACAACGTATTTGGATTCAGCGACCCCCAAACTCAACATTATTTTAGTAAATTTATTTACAATATTACAATAAAAAAAAAATATTGACCTATTTTTCCCGACAGTAAAGAACTAATCTAAAAATTATAATAAGAATGAATAAAAATTCTGATCTAAACATATGATTTGTTTTTTCTAGGTGATCTAAATGGGCAAGATGGTCCAGAAAATGGAAGAAGACGAGGTCCACCTGGCAGACCAGGTGGTCCACCAGGCGGGCCAGGAAATTTAAATGATGGATTTCAAATGCAAAACAACTCAGGAGGTGTAATAATGCCATTGCCTCCAATGAATGGCGTGAACGGTGGGCAAAGTGGGCTAGGTGGTCTGATAAGTGGACAAAGGAATTGGTTGCAATCGTTGAATGGTTCACAGGAAGCGTCAGGAAGTGAGAATGATTCTAGTGATCAAGGAATGATTGGAGGATTCTTAGGACAGCAAGGTGGGCAAAGCGGAGAGTTGGGCATGCCTTTTGGACTCGCAGGAGGACAAAATGGTCAAAACGAAAATGGTCCAAATGGTTGGTTCGGTATGCTGAATGGTACGCTGGGAGGACTTGGTGGGCAAACCGGGCCAGGTTGGCAGACACCTGGGGATATGACAGGAGGTCAAAATGGGCAAAATAGTGGGTGGGCTGGTCAAGGAGGTCAAGGTGGAGGTTGGGGAATGGGAGGAGGGCAAAATGGGCAAGGTGGTATGGGAGGAGGACAAATTGGTCAAAATAGTGGGTGGGCAGGTCAAGGAGGTCGAGGAGGGCAAAGTGGAGAGTGGGGAGCGTCAGGAGGGCAATATGGTCAAAATGGAGGGCAAGGAGGTCGAGGTGGAGGTTGGGGAGGACAAAGTGGCCAAAGTGGAGAGTGGGGAGCGTCAGGAGGACAATATGGTCAAAGTGGTGGGTGGGGAGGTCGAGGCGGAGGGTGGGGAGGGTCTGGAAGACAAAATGGGCAAAGTGGGCAAGGCGGAGGGTGGGGAACGACTGGAAGTACGGCAGGAGGACTGAATGGCCAAGCTGGAGGTTTGGGAATGCTTGGAGGTATGTTGGGCAGACTTGGTGGGCAAAATGGAGGGTGGGGAATGGCAGGAAGCACGCAGGGAGGGCAGAGTGGTCAATGGAACGGTTTAGGAACGTCAGGAGCTCAAAATGGGCAGAGTAGAGGCTGGGGTAGGACTGCAGGACAAAGTGGGCAAGGTTGGGGCTCAGGAATGTATGGAGGGCAAAATGGTGGATGGGATTCGCAAGGAAGTGCCTTAGGGGCTAGCTGGAATATGCCTTGGGGATCTAGTGGCCAGGCAGTGATATAAAATCGTACCAATAACGTTAAGTTCAAAAAATAAATTGAAAGAGATAAATTATGCAAAAAAATATAGTAAGTAAAAAAATATAACAAGTGAAAACAATTTTTGTGAAAAATTAAGAATGTAAAAAAATGAAATATGTAAACTCAAATAAAGATTTAAAAAAAAGTAAATTGGACATTAACGACCTATATTATTAATCCTATTCCAGAGAAATTGTTAGAGAAGACTTCGAAGAGATCTAACTTGAAATTCGCCAAATAGAAAAAACTTATCACCATCTAAATTGTCAAAAACAAAATTTACTAATAATTTTAATTTTTTTTTCAATTCCTTATCTTACTAAAATTATGTAATGAATACTTGCTCAAGCATACCTTAAAGTTAATTTTAAAAAATCTTTTAAATACTCTTACTTTTTGTCAAAAAAAATAAAAAATAATTAATTTCACGATTTTTTTTTGCATAGGCACGTGTTAGAACAAAATAATTGTTACACAACGAAAGACAACAGCGAATTACGAAATTCAATATTGACATACAAACTCTACAATTTTTCTCTTATGAATTTCAAAAAGAAAGAATTTTAAATAATAAAAGGAACTTATTGTTCCAAAGAAATAGTAGCTTTTGTTACTATTTTTTTTCGAATTTCTGAAAAGAAAATTTTTAAATAATAAAAGAAACTTATTGTTCCAAAGAAATAGTAATTTTTGTTAAATTAAAAAAAGAACATTAACATATCAAGGGCTGGTAACGTGTCCCAGAATTAATACTTCTGCTTCCGTCAATATTTATAACAAGCTGCGAATTTCTACATCACATCAGTTTTCTAATAATATCTGTCTAAAATTATTTTTACTATTTGGTAGAAACTAAAAAAACTACCTCATCACGATGAAAATAATATTTCTTTGTCTGATTACACTCGTTGGTATTGGTAAGAAACTACGATTTTTTAAAAGTCTAATGCATCAAAAATCGATTTTCGATTAAGTTTAATTCAATGTTCCTTTGGTTCACTGAATTCCAATCTTATGTAAAAATTTAGATATTCAAAATGGTAGCTTTAAAATTTTGACCGAAAAGTTATTAATTCATCAAGATTAGAGGTGGATTCAAAATTTTCTAGATTGACATTTTTAATTGTTAAACAATTAAAATTAAATTAAATACAGATTCGAATTCAGCGACCTAGAAAACCTCTTGAGAAAGCACATTTCCGATTCGAGTTTGACTTCATTGGCAATAATTTTTATTGACTTTTTTGTTTTAACTTTGAATTTGAAAATGGAAGATAAAGTGAAAATGAAAGTTGACTTTAATGTCAAAGTCAAAGCGAAAGTCAGAATAAAAATGCATGTTAAAGTCAAACTTAAGGTCTTTAGAGTCATTGTCCATCTAAGTGGTCAAATATTAAAATATAATAACTGCTTTATGGGTAAAAACATTTACTTCTTGCAGGTAGCTTAACCGCTCAAAATGGTGGAATGTCCTTTGGAATGCAGGGAGGATTTGGTGGACAAAACGGTTCAAGTGGGCAAGGAAGGTCAGGTGGGCAAGGTGGACAAGGTGGTCAAAGTGGAGGAATGGGAATGTCAGGACAGGGAGGACGAAGTGGAGGAATGGGAATGTCCTTCGGTATGCAGGGTGGATCAAATGGCTTAAGTGGTCAAGGTGGTCAAAGTGGGGGACAAGGAGGACCAAGTGGAGGAATGGGAATGTCAGGACAAGGTGGTCAAAGCGGAGGAATGTCAAGACAAGGTGGTCAAAGTGGAGGAATGGGAATGTCCTTCGGTATGCAGGGTGGATCAAATGGCTCAAGTGGTCAAGGTGGTCAAAGTGGGAGAATGTCAGGACAAGGTGGTCAAAGTAGAGGAATGTCAGGACAAGGTGGTCAAAGTGGGGGAATGTCAGGGCAAGGAGGACGAAGTGGAGGAATGGGAATGTCCTTTGGAATTCAGGGTGGCTCAAACGGCTCAAGTGGTCAAGGAATGTCTGGTCAAAGCGGAGGACGAGGAATGTCAGGAGGGCCAGGTGGACAGGGTGGGCAAAGCGGTGGATTCAGTATGCAGGCTGGTGGTTCTGGTGGCATGAGAGGAGGTCGAAACTAAAACCAAAATATTATATTCACAGCTCTTAACTATTATAATATTGGCTGTAGAAAAACTTATAAATTATAATAAAGATCATTGAAATTTAATAAAGAGAATTTAATTTCGTCAAATTTTTATTGTATTATTAAAAATTGACAAAATCCCTAAGTCAAATTAAGAACGTTTGTTTATGTGATGTAGTACTCTCGACAAATTAAGAATCAAGAAAAAATATATTTAAGATATAGAACTGATTTTTTATTTTATTTTTTTAACCAAAAGTTTCAAAAGAGTACAATACAATTTTCATAAATTAAAAAGAAACTCTATAGTAAATAAAGAAATAAAGAAATAAATAAATAAATAAATAAAGAAATTCAAAAGAACCTCAGGTAAATAAATAAAAAAGAATATGACGTCAATTGTAGTTTGAAGGATATAACGTGCTCTGGAATTAATTCAACATTTATATAAAATGCCACAAATTTTCTAGATTCTTCAATTCATTTAGTAACCTGTTCTATTCAAGTATACGAAAAGTTTCTTTCAAAATGAAATTGATTCTCATCGGTCTAATTACCTTCGCACTTGGTAAGATACTATCTCATCATCATGAATAAGCTTAAACAGACATCTTGTTAATTTTGGAAATTTTAAAGTTAAATATTTAGTTTCAAACCAAAATAAAATGAGTGCAAGTTTCAAATTTTTGTCAGAATTTTCAAAAAACTTTTTAACAAAAAAAAATCCCTTTTCTATAGTTGGATTATGCACGGAAAGAGTTGAGGCCCGACCAGGTGGATATGTAACACAGAATTGGCAAAACGGTTCCAATAATCAAGGACCAAATAAAAATGGGCAACCATGTACTGTATGTGGACAAAATTATCCTACAAGACCACCACCACCTCCTCCACCAATGAAAGGTGGTTGTAACCACCAAGGAGGTCCATGTAATCAAAATGGAAATGGTGGACCATCCAACAAGGGTTGTTCAAATGGCAATTCCAATCCTCCGGGAAAAAATTGTGGACAAACTACTCCATGTGGTCGACCAGGACATGAACATCCAGGTGGTCACGGTGGTCAAAATAATTATGGAGGCAATTCGAACGTGAAAAGTGGGCAAATAGGTTATGGAGGTCATAATGGATATCCTAGTACTACTCCATGTGGTCCATCAGGACATGGTCATAATGGTCAGAATAATTATGGAGGCAATTCGCAGATGAAAGGTGGGCAAACAGGTTATGGTGGTCAAAATGGTCAGTATAATTACGGAGGTGGTTCGAACGTAAAAAGTGGGCAAATAGGTCATCATCATCATCCAACAGGTGGGCAAGGTGGTCAAAATAATTACGGAGGCAATTCGAACATGAAAAGTGGGCAAACAGGTTATGGAGGAAACAATAACAATGGTCAAAATGGCAAAGGAAGTAAATGTGAAAAATGTGGGCAAGATAAGCAAATAGTATACACTATGAATTATTAAGTAAAGAGGTAAAATAATTAATAAACAATTCCTACCTTCTGTATATCTTCGTTTCATTTTTTAAAAAAACAATATACTACATTTAGTCTATGTTACAACTCAAAAATACCATTTCCAAACTAAAATGTTTTTCACAAGATTTTCGTTAATTAAAAAATTTTTATATTCACAAAAACACTAAACTTGAAATGAGAATTTCAAACAACAATTTTGACAATAATTAAGAATCAAATAAACAATAAAATTTTAATAATGAAGTTTTAACAATAAAAGTTCAATAATGAAATTTTAAGACTAAAATTTTAACAATTATATTTCAACAATAAAATATTAACAATTATTTTTTAATTTTCCCAGAATTTTTCACGAAACAATATTGTCAATTCATAGTTTTTTTTTAGTTTTTTCATAATTTTAATTTATTTTCAATATTAACAATAAAATATTAACAATATTTTAAATTTTTAACAATAAAATTTTAACAATAAATAATTATCTTTTAAACAATTTTGAAAATTCAGTGTAACAATTCTTGTTTGGAAATTCATTCATTGCATGATTTCGCATCTTAACTACTACATTGTTAATTCACTTCTATTCAACAATGATTTTCTCGATTTTAATTTGTAAAGAATAAAAAAAAGTAAATTCGTAAACAAAAAGTGTTTATCTCTTATCGTGCATTGGAATTAATTTGAGACTTTTATTTCAAATGGTATAAAAAGTCGAAAGAAATTGATTCCAATCATCAGTTCTCTTACCACTGTTAACATACTACAAAGTTTTATTTCAACTCAACGTGAAAATTCGTTTTCAAAATGAAATTGACAATTACGAGTCTAATTGTTCTTCTCGCTCTCTGTAAGTTTTTGATTCAATTTTTTATAAAGAAACATTTTTTTAATTTAAAAAAAATTAAAAACAAATTTTAAATCTATGAAAAAGTTGTTAAAATTAAAAAAGTTAAATGATTTTCGAAGTTAATAAAATATTACAAATTAGAGACTTTGAAAAAATAGTAAATAGAAAAAATATAAAATTATATTATTAACAAAAAAAATAATAGTAAAAAAAAATTTTTTTAAAGGAAAAACGTTTCATCTTCTTTATAAAAAAAAATATATTTTTTGTAGTTGGATTAAGCGCAGCTGTTGATCAAGTAGGCGAAATGAATTGTAAAGGCAAAGGCAAAAAAGGAAAGTAAAATGTCTGCCTAAAGAAGACTATAATTTTTGATGCTTTTTAAATTCAATCTAAAATTTAACTAAAAATTTTCACATTGTACCATCAAAAAATAATGAAACCAGTAATCTTGCAAATAATAATAAAATTGTAACATTTTGAAAATCTTAAAAAAAAATTTTCTGTGATTATTTATTTTCCTAATTTCCCTATAAATATAAAAATAGACAATCTTTCCTGTCGAAAGTGTTCCTTAGGGACAGGATGAAAAGAGGTTTCGCAACGTGTTTCAAAAAGGGTTGACGAAAACGGTAACAAGCTTATTTCAACGATTGCTGTCTCTGACACTTCGAGCAAAAGAATAAAAAAAAAAAAATCGAAATCTCTCGGGAGTCCCGTCGAGCGTGTCCAACGTCAGCCATAACTGACGCCATTGGCAATGCGGTGGCTTTCGTAAAACCGTAGAAAGTAGAGTAAAAAAACATTGATACCTATCCCTTTTTACAAAAAAAAAAAAAAAAAAAAAAAACCGACCAAAGTTCTTCAAAGTAAGAGTAAAAACTCGTTCTTGCATCGCGGAGTCTAGAAACTTATTCATAATATGATCCCGTTAGGTTACCATTCCAACAACCTTTTTTTTGTACATTTTTTCACCCTTTGAGTGGAAAATTTCTTTTTTCGAAAAATGAACAGAATTTTATTTGTGAGCTTTTTCTTCAGTGAATTACTGTTTTGGAAACAAAGTTAGATTACTTTTTTCTTAAACTAATAACCAACCCTAATTCGTAATTAAATAGTAGACTGAAAAAAAAATTTATTTTATTCAAATAACCGATTATGATTGTCTAAAATAGTTTTATTATTTATATACTTGAATCAAATAAATATTTACTTGAATCGAATAATTCTTATTTAAATCAATTAAAATGTATTTGATTCAAATACGAAAATTATTGGTTTAAATACAATTTAATTGACTTAAATAAAAATTATTTGAGATTGAGTGAAATAAATATTTCTTTCATTCAAGAAAATATTTATTTGACTCAAGTAAATATTTATTACACTCCAGTAAATATTTATTACACTCAAGTAAATATTAATTTAATAACAAACAAAGAATTTGTTATTTATTAATCAAATTAATTTTTCAGTGTAATTAACCTAATAAATTTCGTTTAAATTACAATTTGTTTAATCAACTTTTTCCAATTAACAAATTCCAAATATTAAAGTTTTATAACCAGTCTCAAGTTCAAAAAATTTTGTCAAAAAATTAATATAGGAACAAACAAATTTTTTTTTGTGAAAACTTACTAAGATTGTAAATTTATTCAGACGCTCGATTATATAATTCCACTTTTTCTTTCAATTTTTTTTCAATTTCATTTTCACTTTTACAGATTTTCATTCTCACTTAGACACTCATCTTCACTTTAATAGATTTTTTTCACTTTTATTTTCACTTTGGAAGTGAAAACGAAAGTGAAAATCTAAACAAAATTACCTAATCTACACCCAGAATGAAATAAAAAAAAAAAAAAAAATTGAAGTAAAATTTCCGGAAAAATCATTTGTCAAATAAAACTGAAAAAGTTAAAAAAAAAAGTTTCACTTTTCGAGAAAAAGGAAAACTTTTAAAAATTTCAAACATTTTGCCAAACAAATTATTACAAATAAAATATATTCTTCGGATAAAAATTAAAACAAAAAATTAAACATTAAAAAAATAGAAAAATAAAAACTAAAAAAACTTTAAAATAAAGATTAAAAAAATAGAAAAATCCCATAAATTTAAAACTTGTTTTGAAAAAAATGTAGGTATTAGCAACAAAAATTCTTTATTGATAAAGATTTTCTTGATCAAAAATTTATTCAGAGAAAAATAAAAAAAAATTTGGAGCATTAAGAAAAATATTATATGCTAATTAAGACAGAAAATTTTCACTTGTTTAATTATAAAATGAGTCACTGTTCGAGAAAAAGAAAAACTCTTAAAAAATTTGAAACATTTTGCTAAAAATATGATTAAAAACAAAAAAAAAATATATTCTTCTGCTGAAAAATTTTTTAAAAAAATTAAAATTTAAAATAATTGAATTCTTATAAAGAGCTTTATAAAAAATTTTGAAAATAATTGAATTGTTATGAAGAATTTTATTTCAAAATTTTTTAAAATAATTAAATTTTTTCAAGAAATTTAATTCAAAATCTATCGAAAATAATTATTAAATTTTAATATACAAATTATATAAAAATTTTTTTAAAATAAGTAAATTCTTTCGAAGAATTTTAATAGAATTTTAAAGAATAATAATTACTTTTTTTTCGAGGTATTTATTTATATTATTTATGAAAATAATTGAATTTCAGCAACGAACTTTATTAAATATTTTTTAAAAATAAATGAATTCCTGATAAGAATTTTATTATTTATAAAAATAATTGAATTCTTGCGAAGAATTTTATTATATATAAAAATAATTTAATTTTTGCGAAGAATTTTAGAAAATCTGTTATAATCTGTTAATAATTGAATTCCTTTGAAAATTTTATTATTGATTAAAATAATTGAATTCTTTTCGGAAATTTTTTATTAGAATAATAGATATTGAAGTTAATTGAATTTCGAAATTTTTTTTGAAAATAATATCAAATCGTTTGAAATAAAATAATTTTATTAAAATTTTATGAATTATTTCTAAGAATTATAATATGTTTAAGAATAATTTGCTTATTCCATCTATTAACGAATTTAAAGAAGTTAAAATTCTCAAAAATAGAAAAAGTAACATTTAGTGTCACAAATCTAAAAACAAGTATCCAAATAGTAGCAAATCCTAAAAAAACAGTAGTAAATAGTAGGATTTAGTTGATGTGTACAAAGCCTGGAAATTCAAAAATACAGTAAAAAAATAAAAATAAAAAATTTGTTTTAACAAAAATTTATTACTCTCTAAATATGAGTTTGTAAAAATGTTTACTAATTTGAAATAGTGCCTGACTTTTTGCTTTTTAATTAGTAAATTTTATTAATAAATTAGTTGAAATTACTATTTATTAGTAAAATTTAGTAATTCAAAAGCTAAAAACGAGGTAAAAAATCAGTTACTAATTCAACTTTAAAGAGTAAAAACAAAAATATCTGCTTGTGAAAACTTTCCCAAAATCAAAAATTTATTCAAAAGAGAATAAAAAAAAATTGGAGCAAGAAGGAAAATTCTTTGTGAAGTTAAACAAGAAAATAAAAAAATTTAAAAAAAGTTTCACTTTTCAAAAAAAAAAAAAAAAAAAAAAAGAACAGCGTTGCTAATCTGTGAGACATGGCATCAAGAAGTCGCGTGTTTAAACCCTAAACGTGATCCCGTTAGGTCAAGCATTCTAAACTAGATACAATATATAACCTTTTGTTATACAACTCGTTTTCCTTTTAACCATGTTTCAAACGTTTTTTCTCAAACTACGACGCGAGAGAAACTCGATTCTGGGAAAAATGGCAAATCTATGCAATGAAAGAAAATCACAGGAGGGGAGGAAAAAAAAAATTTCAAGCTTACCCTGGATGCATCTTGGAAAATAAACTGGTTCAACTTTTTTTTTTCTTCTTTTTTTTCTAGACCTCTGACCATCTTTTACATTCTCTCAAACTGCCAACCATTTTCTTTTACATTCCAAGTATCCTCTTTTACATCTTAATCAACTTTTTTCTTCTCTTCCTTTATTTTCCTCTTTTTTCCATTCTAATCAAAATCCATCATTTCATATTCTAATCAGATGCAAATTTCTTTTAATTCTAATCCTTTTTTTGCTGTTTGAATTTGTCACAATTTCGAGAAAATGGTTTTCAATTCTTTTTCTCTTTCCTCTTTTTTGTATTTTTGTCAAAATTTATCATTCCATCTAATCAGATGCAAATTTCTTTTAATTCCATTTTTTTGTTCATTTCTCTTACGGGAATTTTCACTGAAAGATTTTTCTTCCTTTTACTGTTTATATCTATTTTTCTTTATTATTATTTTTTCTTTTCTTTAACTTTTGATTTTTTATTTATTTTTATTTGTTTTTTTTTCTTTTTTTTCACTCTTGATTTTTTATTCTTGGAGAGGTTTTTTACACAATTATATATACAGAGGAAAGAAGTTACAACAACGAACTGAATCAGTTTGTAACCGTTGGCAATTCTTATACGTAGTTTGCAAGTATATGAACTCATTTTGTACTTTTGCTTTATTGCCAACAGATACGCTTCTAAATCGCCTATAATTTATATCAATGGATAAATCGAATGGTATTATTCTGCAAAGATTCAGAGCGTAACTTCCATTTATAAATCAAACAAGCGCGAATAATAAATGCAAACACACAGAGCTTAGAAAAAAAAATACCACTCGCGATACTAACAAGAGAAAATCTTCTTATTTTCGCTTTTTAATCGCTCAAAAAAAAAGCTGTTATCGTTAATTGAACAACGATTACAGTTTATCAATTTTTCATGCTCCTGATTGTTTTCTGATTAAAATTTAAGTCACGGTGGGAAAAAGGAGAGAAAAAGAAATGAATTCTGATGAATTTCTTCAGAATTAAAAAAGAAAAATAATAATTTCTTTAGAATTAAAAGTGAAAAATAATTACTTTTTTTTAGAATTAAAGAAGAAAAATAATTAGTTATGTTTAGAATTAAAAAAGGAAAATAATAATTTCATTAGAATTAAAAAAGAAAAATAATTACTTTTTTTTAGAATTAAAAAAGAAAAATAATTAGTTTTGTTTAGAATCAAACAAGAAAAATAATTAGTTTTATTTAGAATCAAAAAAAGGAAAATAATTATCACTTTTTTAGAATCAAAAAAGAAAAATAATAATTACACTTTTAAAAATTAGAAAAAGATGTTAATAATTATAATTATAATTGTAAATACTACGAGATCACTACTTTCATTGAAAGCAAAACTTGAACTCAAGCGAGTCACGTGCTCGCTTATGAATCATCTATGCTCCCATTTTGCGATTTTACGACTCTAATCTCAGTAACCTAGTAACCCCTCAACTAAATGGGAGTTTTTTTTTTTGTTTTAGTAATTTC